CAAAATTAACTTCCTTGGATGGCTGGGCAGGGGAAAGAGTCCTGCTCTTTCTAAGATACCACCTGCCACAGTCTCACATAGTGATCTCACCTACTACATAAACATACTTATCTTAAGTAAAGCACACAAAATATGATACACAGAAGTCTTTCCTGTTAGCCTCAATTCTATCCTCAGAAATAGGACATGAGTGTGCATCCTTCTCCAATTTAACCTTCTCAAACTCTAGGAGAAAAAAAATATGTCCATTTTATAAGGATCACGAGTCACCTCCTCTAGGAGGCCTCCCCTAATTGCCACCATTTCCCCCAGGGCAGAACTGCTACTTCCAACTTCCTGTCCCACTGTGCACTTGCACAGATTTCTCTAATAGCATCTATGTGCCTGGTTGCAGGTCTTACTTAGTCCTGTGCTTCCTCAAGGATAAGATCACATTCTGTTCATTTAATCCCCCAGTGCCCAGCACAGTGCCTGGTCCATAAGCAGACTTCATTAACTGTTTATTGAGGAAATGAGTATGTGGAGGCTCAGAAAAGTTAACTTGGGTAAAACACAAAGCAGGTCTTCTGGGCCCCAAAGCCCATGTTCTTTCCACTGAAGTCTGCTTACTCCCAACCTCTCCTGAGGGTGGAGGTAGTTTAGGTGGACAAGAGCTTTAAAGAACCTGAGTCCTTGACTACAAACCCCATGCTCCATGAGAAGAAGCAATCACATCAGAGATTTCAGAAACTTAGCTTGTCTGGGAGGAAGTCATGGTCTTCTTTAAAACCCCCTGACTCCTCCCATTCTCAAAACCAGAAAGACACTGCTTTCTGGGGAGGATGCCCATGCAGGCTGGCTCCTCTGGCTCTTTATGGAAGGGACAACCACATGGACCAGGGTTTAGGTAGACAGTCTTTTCTGATGTTTCCAGAAAAAACATCCTACACTCCCTGACAATTTGCTTGTCCCCTAGGATGGGTCCAATGAGAATAAGCATAGGACATTGTAAAGGCCCACTTTATAAACCAAAGGGGCCAGCCTCCTTCTCTCCCAGTCCCTAGTCCCCAGCCCAGACTGTAGGACTTAACTTTCCCATCCAGACTCATGGAACTAACTGGAGGAAGTACTTTTGATCTGATTGGGTTTTATGATCCTTATCTTTACCAACACCTCCCCTGACCTCACCAGACTCAGGGAACACTTGGCAATTAGCAAACATAGATGCCCCCACAGAAACTTTCTCTGAGGAATCAAGGAAAGAAGGAGCATGTCTGCACCAAGCTAGCAGTAGACTTGACCCCTTATCACTCAGTCACTCACCAAGACTAAGTGCCTGCCTTGGTTCACAGAGTCAAATACTTCTGTTCATTCCTGCCACTTCTTCCCATGTCGAGGCCTCCATCTGCTCTCCAAGGATTATTTCAAAGGCCTCCCAACTAGCCCTCCCCATGGTGACCCCTGCTATGTCCTCAAGCATTCTCCAGAAGCTGGCAGAGAGATTTTCTAAACTCTTTTCCTGTCACTCCCTACTGATTGGAATGGTTTTGAGGCCCCTGGGTTAAAGTTCACACTCCTCAGCAAAATTCACAGGGACCTAGGTAGCCTCTGCTTCTCTCTCCTGCTGCTTCTGTCAGCATTCACTGTCCTTCCCAAAATATGCCTTGCTCCCCAAACATGTCCTTCTTTCTCCAACTTTGAGGCCTTGGCATGGGTCTATCACAGTCTTCCACTTCCTCCTGACTCCTATCACTCAACTCCTATGCAGATGGCAGCTTTTGCTGACCATTCCCAACACTGTACGTGAAGCCTCTTGTGGGTAGGTAGATGGAAGGAGAGATGGCAGAAGAAAGAACTGCTTCTCTCAGAATTTGTCAGGCCCCGAATCTATCCTATCACTGTGGCTTACCCCTACTCCCCACGGAACCTCATCGAGTGGCTACAGGAACACATGAAGAAAGTGTGAACCAAGCATTCTGCACACTCCAGGGTGAGAGGGAAACCTGAAGGGGTGTGTCTCCCTGGGGCCTTTGGAATAGGCTACAGAGAGGAGCCGTGGAGCCCTGGCCGCGCTCTGTGTGTCAGAGAGAACAGATAGTTGGTCAGCTCCCTTGGAGCTCTCTGGAGATAGACGACATGTGGACACAGTTGATGAACTGCCTGATGGGCAGGGTGGCCACCAGAAGTTATCCCTGTGGGGCTCCCATCATCAGGGTACCCTGACCAGGAGCCTGGAAGTGAGAAGGCTCTTTTCTTTCTTTCTTTCTTTCTTTTTTAATTTTTCTTTTTTTAGATTTTAGATGGACACAACACTTTTATTTATTTAATTTTTATGTGGTGCTGAGGATCAAACCCAGTGCCTCACACATGCTAGGCAAGTATTCTACCACTGAGCTACAGCTCCAGCCCTGAGAAAATTCTTTTCTTGGTGCAGAACTGAAATTAGAACTGATGCCAAGAAAAGTAGCAGGAATCGGAGTGGGAGGAAGAGAAAGAGATAGAGGCTGAGGGCCATAGGAGAGCTGCCATCCCTACCCCTATTCCGTTCCAGCTCATGAAGTCTATCGCAGAAAGCTAGAAATGCTGAGGCTCTGCTTCTGTCTGCTTGTGGCTCAAGTCCTCACCAACACCCAGGTGGGGAAAGGGCTTTTTTCAGTCCTGTGTGCCTTGTACTGCCAGATAGCTCCAGGAAGACACATGGGATGGAGTTTTCTACTGTGTCTGCTGCCAGATCTGCCAAGCTGAGGCCTAGGGAAGAAGTCCTCTGGGTAACAGCTGGGCTTGCCCCTTGGGGTGAGAGCAAGCCAGTGTTTCAGGGATACCAGCTGTAACATGGATTCCACCGGCGCCTCCAAAGCTAAACCATCCACCTCCCCAGGGATGGGACAGCAGCAGCTAGTCGGAAAGGAAGAGTGGCTAGGAAATGTGAGATGCCAGGATGATCCATGGGCTACAGAGAGAGAACTAAATGGCATCTGGGATGTCAAACCTGGAGCCCCACAGAGGCCTTGCTGTGGTTCAGCAGGGAGCTAGAAACAACACCCAGGGGGATTTATGCTTTAAGAAGAAAATTCCATCTGTTAAAAGCAATCTTAGCCTGGGAGAAAGTAGAGACATAGCAATGCATTACAACCTTTGGTTTTAAAAATAAAGAACTCAGGGAACTAAGACTTCCAAGGGGAAGACAAGGGAAGGCCCTTGTCTTCCTCCTCGAAATCTTAGTTCCCTGAGTTCAGTCTAACTTGCCAGCTAACATGCAGCAAGTGCTCAATGTGTGCTTTCAGAATGAATGAGTCAGGCCTTCCCCTGGATTCTACACAAGCTCCTTCTCACTCACTACTCACCCTGACCACAAAGCTACCCAAAACCAACTAGCCCCAGGGTAAAGGAAGACCTTGAACCCAAGTTCAGTGTGTCCTGCCAGAGTATGACCCTGCCACTCTGGGCCCAATATACTGTCAGGTTGAACAGCCATTCTGAATGTCCATTTCCTCTCCCTGGGAGAAAGCTTGGAGCTGGACTCTGCCTGCTTCCTTAGCACTTCCTCTTCTTTTTGACTTTGACACATCTGGCTGGCCACTTAGTGCTGAAAGGTCCCAGCCAGCTGTGCACTGGTCAGGCTGCAAGGCCCAGATCTGGACAGTCCTAAAACCCACAACAGGGAGGGAAGGATATGCCTATCTCTAGGCAGGATATTCCAAACTATGTCACCCCTCCCCCAGGCCCATCAAAAGACCACTGGGGTTAAAGGTTTTAGTTCCCCATCGAGACCTGCCCATTCATCTGATCTAAATCTCTGCTCTCATGCCTTCCTCTGTAGTTTTGCGTGGGCAGGATCAGAGTTAGGGATCTCAGGGATAGTCAGGATACATTATCTCTGGAGGTTTGATTTCTGTTGATTTTCCAGAGTCATCCTTTTTATTCTTCTGGGAGAGTAATAAAAATTCTTCTTCTTTTTTTAATATTTATTTTTCAGTTTTCGGTGGACACAACATCTTTATTTTACTTTTTTTTATGTGGTGCTGAGGATCAAACCCAGCGCCTTGCATGCCAGGAGAGCGCACTACTGCTTGAGCCACATCCCCAGCCCCTAAAATTCTTGCAGCCTTTATAAATCACACCCAATCACTCCTCTATTTCAAATTCTTCGATGGTCCCACTTCAGTGGGATAAAATCTAACTCCAACCATGGTTTACAAGGGCCTCCATGATCTTGTCCTGCTACTCTGAGATCTCACTTGGTATTTAATGCCTTGCCTACTCAGGAGCACGAAGAGGCCCTGGAGAAGGTCATCTTCCCCAGGGCTGGTCACTAAAAGGTTCCCAGCTGACTTCCTCTGTACACACAGCTCTTCACCCCAAATGTTCAGCCCTAATTTGAAATCATTTGTCATTTTTCTGTTATCTTCAAAATCTAAATAAACATGGAATTCCTATCTTTTAGTGTCCATATTGTCCCTCCTATCTGAAAGTAGCACATGTTAGCCTACATGTCCCAATTTAGGGCTCAGAACATAAGGTGACCAAAACTGTAACCTGTCTTCATATCACGAAACTGAACACTGACATGGCAATTTTACCAACCAATAAAAACCTCTCCTGAGGGCTCCAGGGATACAGCTAAAGTTTAGGCAGAACCTGTTCTTGCCTGACACCCTTGAGAAAGGCATTATGCTGAATTCAATCAAGTCAATCCAACAGAACGCTAGAGGAAAACATCAAACCATGAGGCCTGGAGAAACTATTGAAAACTCTATCACAATGAACCTTTGAGGAGTTGTACTTAGCTGCTTGACGAAGACAAAGGTATGAATCCTGTAGTAAGCATCTGGCATGGGACACCCTCTCCTGATGTTACTTCTCCCTACAGGCCTAAGGAATGATACAATCCTCCAACTTCTATGCTGTCTAGGGTCTGACCACAGCTCTTGGGCATTCTCAGTTATCCGCCTAAGTACAACTGCATGAAATGCCCACATCCCAGATCCCTGCTCACCCCTGGTACTCAGGGAAGAACTCACATCGGCTGGCTCCCTGCGGTGTCCGTCGCCACTCCGCAACCAGCTCCGGCTCAACTCGCTGAGCTCTGGGATGGGCTGAACCTTAAGCCGCACACTGTCCCCAGACTGTCGGATCATCTCCACAATCTCATCTCTGGACTTGTTCTCCACATTGTGCCCATTAATCTCCACCAGTCGGTCTCCTGGCACCAACCCAAGAGCCAGGTCCTTGGTACCAGCACCAGGTTCAGCAAAGTGAACCACCCGGCGATAGGCCTGGCCCTCAGGGCCACGATCCAGCATGGTTGTACGCCTCAGGGAGAAACCAAAGTCTCCGGTGGGCCTTCGTTGCAGTTCCAGTTCCCTGGGGGCAGGGGGTGGTGGAGGCACCACTGGGGGGAGTCTCAGGTCAGCTGGGAACCTTTTAGTCACCAGCTCAGGGACTCGAGAACGGTGTCCTGCTCGAGGGATGCCTGGGCCAGAATGCTGCAACAGTTGTCCCTCTAGTGTCCTTATCTCCACCTGTGGTGATGGGGCTGCAGAGTGCTCTGAGGGGGTTGAGGTTTCTGAGGCGCTTTCATCCCGACTTCGCTGGGAGAAAGAGAAGCGCTTGACAATCATCTGTGAGTTCTGCTTGGCTAGTGAGCCGAACTTGGCTGCCCGCTGCAGCACAGAGCCCCTGAAGCTGCCTTCCTCACCCTTGAGGTCATCGCTGGAGCTGGCTGTGCTTAAGTGGCCTGAGTCTAGGATAATGCTGCCCCGGTTGCTGTCAGAGTCAATGTCAGTCAGGTGCAGGTCAGACCCACTGGCTACCTTGATGGGGATGGGGTTGGAGATTTCCAGGCGTGTCTTGGATTCACGCTTGGAGGAGCGGTTCAGGTTGAAGAATCCACGACGGAGACTCATCTCCTCCAGGCTCCGCAGCTCTGCTGCTGACATCCGCTCTTTCTTCTCCTTTTTCTCCTTCTTCTCCTTCCGCCCGCCATCTTTGTCCTTATCTTTTTTCATTAAGTTAAACATGGTGGGGTTTTGTTTTTTTGGGTGGCACCCCTAGAGGATTATGGGTGCTTAGCACAGGACCTTTGGACCCCCACCTTGCTGCTGTAAACAGAAACACAAAGGGAAAAAAGATTATTCCAGCAGTCTCTTCCTGCATCTCCGGTCCAGATATGACCAACTACCCCTCACTGAGTGCTAATGATGTATCAGGTACTTTGCTTTATACAATATTTTAACATGTGATTTAATTATTTAGACCAAGGCTTAGGTATACCTGGAAAGACCTGACCTGCGAGCAAGAGTAAACGTCAAGCCATCTTTAATCTGATTGAAGATTCAAGCAAAAAAGGCAAAGGAAAGGGGCTCTTTGCCATCACCTCCTTCAGCCATGTCTACCAGAGCAACAGACATCACATGCTACCAGGCTCCTTCCTATGTCCCCTACAGCAGCAGACTTAGCCACTGACACCCAGAAGATCTTGGGATCCAACCTTTATGTAATGACTTTCTCTTGACTCTCATAACATTTCTGCAAGTTATGTGCGATTATCTCCACTTTACGAATGAGAAAAATGGAGCTTAGAAAGTTAAGGATATGTTAGATGCCACCCAGTTAATAAGTGGCAATGCTGAGTTTCAGGGGCCAATACATCCTTTCTATGACCTGGATGCCCAAAGTGAAGCAGGGAGGGAAGGAAGGGGAAGTTCCAGACCAAACAGAGGACAGACAGCTGCGGGGTGGGGGTGGTGTGGGGTCTGCTGGATAAACAGGATCCTGAAAAACTTACATCCTTTTCCCTAGACCAACACCTAAATATAGCTTCAGGAAGAAAGTTGTGGCCGCCTGAGAGAAAACCCCAGCTCCAGGATGTGTATACTGAAGGCATCAACCTACCCTCACTCTCACGTGCACCTCTTTGGGGGCAGAACTGAGAAAAACCTGGTGGGGGTAGAATTGAGAGAGCCTTTCTTGTTCAGCAAGGAACAAGAAGTAGAAATAGGCCATGTCATCTAAGTAGAAATTAACTGTAATTTTTTCTCTCTCCATGAAAGCTTCCCCCTCTGAGTTCCAGACAGAGGATCTATGAACTTACCCTTCCAGCAATGGCCTCTTACCGGGCCCTGGACAGGTATTTTCTCTCTGCGTAGCCATCCCCACAACCAAGCTGGGCCTCCAGGATACCCATTCCACTAAGAGGGTCTTCCCTCCAGAAACTCCTAAGGCCCCCAGTTAGCACTGGCTAATTGTTACCTCTCTGCACAACACCCTGACCCCTGTGGTTCCTAGCAGACCAACACATCTTCAGTCTAGAGCAACGCTGTCCACAAGACAATTCAAGTAATATATATAATTTTAAAATCTCCTAGTAGCCACATTAAAAAGATAAAAATAAACAGGTAAATCCAGACATGGTGGTACATGACTATAATTCTAGCTACTTGGGAGGCTGAAGCAGGAAGATTGTGAGTTCAAGGCCAGTCTGGGTAACATAGGCCAGTTATGTATACTAAAAAAAAAGTTAAATTAACTTTAATAATATATTCTGTTTAATACAATATATCCAAAATAGTGACATCTCAACATGTAAGTTATATAAAATATTGACAGCTTTTTAAATTCTATTTTCCATATTAAGTCTTTGAAACTCACTGTGTATTTTATACTTAAAGCATATTTCAATTCAGACGAACCACATTTCAAGTATTCAACAACTTCCTTGGGCTTGCAGCTCTTAGATTTGACAGTGCAATTCTGGAGAAATCTTTAGCTGTAGAGCATGTCAAAAGAGGTAGGAAATCTGACCAGGTCACTAGCTCCTTGTGGGCATAGCAAGAGCCTCTTCTCTCTCTCTCTGACCTCAGTTTCAACTTAGTAAAACAAAGTTCCCTCTGGACTTGTTAGTTCTAAATGTTTGGTGAACACTGGGATTTGGAAGACAGGAAATCTAAAGTCCAAAAGGCATATAGCCAGGAGCAGTATTGACCAGCTGGGTCTGGACTTGGTGGGAGCCAGGGAGTGCCTGACAACCAGCATCCTTTCTTCAGGGATTTACTTTTTTTTTTTTTAATATTTTTAAAGTTGTTGATAGACCTTTATTTTATTTATTTATATACTAAGAATCAAATTTATATGCTGAGAATCAAACCCAGTGCCTCATATACGGCAGGCAAGTGCACTACTGCTGAGCCCAAACACTAACCCCTTCAGGGCTCTACTTTTGACGGAGGAGTCTCTCTTCTGAATGTTGATAGAAATGTAGCATAGACCTATCATATACCAAGACAAGGGATCTTTGGCAGGTCTCTACCCACACCATCTTGACTGGTCTAGAAGATGGCTCCAGGGGTACCTGTGGGGGATATGAAGGAAGAAAAAAAAAATCCTTGGGGACTAACAAGAGTATTTTAGCCTTAGCCCAATCACAAAGAACCTACCTGCCTATAGTACTCTATCCCAACAATCCACTGATACTCTACAAACCTTACCTAATTCTGGCTCTTGGCTGGAGGTTAGGTAGCTGGGCACTCTCAATGGAAAACAGCCCCCAGAATTCTAGAGTCTTTGAGCTAGAAAAGTCCCTTAGAAGAAAGTTCATGTAAATTCCTGTCTCAGCAAAAACTTGCCCCTCATGTCATTGCAGCAGGCAGGAAAAACAGAGCGTCAGTCATAGCAGCAGGATAGGGAATGGTGCTGGCTGGAAATTTGAGGAGATCTGATATCTAGGCCTGAATCTGCCAAGAAATCACAGTTGGGGGGACCTTGGGCTTGTCACTTTGCTCAAGGTTGAACTAGATGATCTAGGCCTCTTCCAGCTCTAAAATTCCAACTATCCAAGTCCCTTGTGGACATAGGTTAGTTATTAACTTTCTGTCAAAGTCACCCCTGTCATCCTAACCCTCAGGGCTTCAGAGATTGAAACATGTCAGACCTTACTCACCATCCCTATCCAGCCATTGTTACCTGCACAGCTCACAAAGGCACCTCTTCCCCAGTGCCATTCCCCTTTTTGCCAGGCTTGGGTATGGACTGTTTTTTCCTGAGCCACACATCTGGAGCTATCTGACTGCCTGCAGGTTTCTCTTCCAAGATCAGATTTGCTGTACCCATGCTCCTCAGCCCTCATTTCACTAGAGAGCTGGGCTCCACCATCTTCTTGTAGATCTTGAATTTGTCAACATCATCTGTCCATGGGCCCAAGGCCTTCAGCAGCTCTGAAACCAACATCTACCCGATCCCCATTCCAGACTACATTTTCTATCCACCTCTTCTTCCTCTCCCACCTTCTCACTTCACGCAGGTGAAGGAAACTTAATAGTTCACTCCAGAAAGCTTTTCCTAACTTTTTTTTTTAAGTTGTAGATGGGCACAATACCTTTATTTTATTTATTTATGCGTTGTTGAGGATGGAACCCAGTGCCTCATGCATGCTAGGCAAGCACTCTACCACTGAGCCACTACCCCAGCCCCAGCCTTTCCTAACTTTAAGTGGAGGAAAGGTAAGTATGTAAATTCAGGTATCTGCCAAAATTATCTTGACCCTTCTATTTCCAAAACAAAATACAATCTGTCAACTCAGCTGCTTTATCACTTTGAAACTGTGAGCATCTTGAAGGCAAGGACTGTTCAATTCAAACATGCATCTACCTGTCTATCCACAAAAATGGATAAATAATTTACATGTTGACGCAAAATGGAATGCTACTTAGCAACAAAAAGGAAACAACTGCTGATAAGCACAATAACAGGGACAAATCTCAAAAACATTATCTGAAGCAAGTGGGGAAGAAGCTGTTGACAATGCATATTGGTATGATTCTATTTATATAAAGCTCTAATACAGGCAAAATTAACTTATAGTTAAAAAAAATCAAAGCAATGATTATCCTGGGGTTGGGGGAATGGGAGAATGTATGAAAAAGGGCATGAGGGAACTCCTAGAGTGATGTTCATGTCCTGAATGTGCGTAGGGACTTGAGATGACAGATCTATATATTTGTCAACTGTCATCAAATAGTGTATGTTAGATTTGTGCATTTTATTGAACATAAGTATTTACTCAAAAGAAAAAAATGTAAACAAATATTGAACTCCAGTTAATGATACATAGGCTAAAAGATGTGGAGTAGGGTATACCAATGGCTGCAATTTACTTTGAGATATGTCAAAAATTTAAGACAGCTTGGTAGATCAATCAAGGGATAAAAATATGGTAAGCAAGGATGGGAAAATGCCAATTGTTGAATTTATGAGGTAGGGAGGTGTTGACTGTAAAATTCTTTTAACTTTTCTAAATGTTTGCAGATCTTTGTGATAAAATATTAGAAAAAATATGTGTCTAGGGGCTGAGATTGTAGCTCAGTGGTAGAGCACTCTCCTAGCACATGCAAGGCCCTGGGTTAGATAAATAAAGGCATTGTGTCCAACTACACCTAAAAAATAAATATGTTTTTAAATATATCTACCTCTTTTTTTATATACAGAGTTTTGAAAAAATTGTGCTATGAATGGATAATTATGAATGTAATGCATTCCACTATTGTCATGTATGTAAGAAATTTTAAAAAATGTATCTATCAAGAAGCTACTAAATACAAGGGATGTAAAGGTAAGTAAGCCTAGTGAAAGAGCTCAGAGGCTTTGGATGTCAGTTCACAAAACTGAGAACAAATCTGAGTTAATACCTATGAAGCCCTGGGCAAGTCACTTCAGGCCACTGTATGCCTGGTTTCACTATCTATAAAATAAAACGGAGATAATAGCCTCTATCACATAAGGAGCAGGAATTAAATTTTAAACACACACATATGTATGGCATATTTAAGCATGACATGTACAATGCCTAGCCCATGGTAAGCTTTAAAGAGTGGTACATTCTTCCAACCTAAATGGGATGATGAAGAGGATAAGAGAGTGTACAGTGACTATCAGCACAAATATGACTAAAATAAGTTCAGCCCCTTTTATGTGGAAAATAAAGCCCAAAGAAGTAAAGGCAACCTAGTGAGCACTCGGGCAAACTGGATCACATGTTTGAGTCCACAGCTCCCTATAGCTACTGTGGAGGATACAGACAGCCAATTCAGAGATGCAGAAATACAAATAGCCAACACATATGAACAGGTATTCAGCCTCAGTAACAACCACAGTTATATACTGCTTTTCATCTAGCAGTTCAATAAAAACTATAAAGATGGATAACATTATGGGATGGGAAGCAGGAACACTCATAAGTGTTGGTAGGAGTACAAACTGGTATGACATATACATATCTGCAGCAGAAAGGCCAGTTGGTCTAAACTATAAAAATATGGAATACTTCATGAATTTGTGTGTAATCCTTGCACAGGGGCCAGGCTAATCTTACCTATATTCTTCCAATGTTAGTGTACGTGCTACCAAAGTAAGCATTTGAATAAATTTTTAGGAGGGTAAGTTGGTGATGTCTATGGAAACATTTATGTTCATTCATAACTTTTGGACAATTCCACAACTCTATAGGTCATCTATAGATATAGTCACACAATAAACTAGGCTAATCTTTGCAGGATTGTTTATAATTACAAATCTATACATATAAATATGAATCACCATGGAAATAATTAAATTATAAAAAAACTAGGCAGTTATTAAAAAGAGTGAGGTAGATTTGTATATACTGACCTAGAAAAATTCTATACTATCTTGTTAAGTGAGGAAAGCAAGATGGACAGAATGCATGCTAAAATTTTTAAAACTATATATATGTATATGAATAATAAACAGGTATATTACATACAATATTTACATAGTCATAGAAAAATATATGCTCTGGGAAGGAGATTGGGATTTTAGAATAGTCAAAGCAGATTTGTGTTTCATCTATATGGTTTTAAGCTTTTAAAACGAGAATATTAAGCTGATAGGTGTGTGTGTGTGTGTGTGTGTGTAAATTTAAGCCTAGAGGCTCTGAGTAGTGGGAATATGTGTGATTTTTCTTCTTTCTGTATGCTCTTTATTTCTTACAAAAAAGATGTTGAATATTTACATTAAATATTTTTAAATAATATATTTAGTTATAAATAGGTAAATATCACACACACACACACAAAACAAGCTTTTAAAAATTAGTCTGGGGCCAAGTGTGATGCACACTAATAGTCTCAGTGGCTCAGGAGGCTGAGGCAGGAGGATGGCAAGTTCAAGGCCAGCCTCAGCAACTTAGTAAGATCCTAAGCAACTTAATGAGAACTTGTCTTAAAATAATAATGATGATGATGATGGTAATAATAATAATAATAATAATAATAATAATAATAATGACTGGGGATGTATCTCAATGGTAAAGAGCCCCTAGATTCAATCCCCAGTATCCACCCTCATCCCCCTCCACCCCAGAAAAAAATGTATCTGGTTGTCCCTGGGGAGTAGGTGGCAACGGGAAAAGTCACACTTAAGTTTTCCACTGAATACATTTCCTAATGATTCAACTACACACCCCCCATGTTACTTTCCTAACTTTAAAGATTTAAAAAACAAAACAAAAAGTGTAGTTCTGATAGAGTGGCAAGCAATCCATTCACATTAAAGTTGTAAACAGGGTTTGCAAGGATCAATTTAAAGTTGCCTTCCTGTCTTAAAAGTTGAATTCAGTGACTTTGGGGACCTGGTTAAAAGAGACTTTACTGGTATCTTATGGCTTTAAGTAGGGACAGATTTAAATGGGTCACCCTGCAGCTGGCAAAGCAGAAACCCCAGGAAATGGAAACTATAACATTAGCTTCCCAGGACAGGGACAGACAGGGGCACCCAGACTTGGCTGCTGTGGGTGAATACTTAGGTCAGTTCCCCACCTCCCACCGGCTGACCACACTCATAAATACATACAAAGGAAATACTTTCCCAGGAGAGCCGACCTCTCTCCCTTGGCCTCTGACCTCCTAGAGCGGCGGCTCCCTACAGCCCGAGGCCCCTAACTTGTCCCAAGCCCGCACCGGAGATCGCAGCCCCGGCTCAGAGGTGTCGCGCAACACCTGGCCCGGCCCGCCGCGCGGCCCCAGCGAGAGCGGCCAGTCGCCGCCGCCGCGCTGATCCCGCCGGTTCTGCTGAGCTCCGCAGCGCCGCGTGACTCGCCTCCAGGTCACACGGAGCTTATCTGGCTCCAGGTGTGCACCCTGCTCCGAATGCACGCTTCTCGCATGACATCAGCTGGCCCGCCCGCCGCAGCGCCGGGAGCCCGGGAGTCCGGCAGCCCTTAGCATTTTCCCTCGGCCTGGCCGGCGCAGCCACAGCCGCAGCCCCGTGGCGCCTTTTGCCGCGATAGGGTCTCACTTGGGACGCAGCAACGTGCCAGCCCCGACAGAACCTGTGAGGGGAGAGAAAGTACTAACCCGGGTCCAAAACGGGGCCTGCCCGCAGACCAGTTCCGCTATGCTCCCCTTGCCACACGCCCCCTTCTGTGTGACCTTGAGCAAGTGGCATCTCCTCTCTAGACTCCGCTATTCCAACCATACAATCTCCAAGCCTTTGCTGCATAGGTATTGCACTCTACTACAAACTGCAGGTTCTCATCCTGCTGTGCCTTCCATGTGCTGTGTGACCTTGAACCCATCATCCAACATTTTTGAATACCAGAGAAAAATAAAAATAATCCCTTGCAAGTGATGATGAAGTATCTGGCAGAGAAAATGGGACTTGGCCCTATTAAAATCATCAGACTTGAACTGCTGCCTGACTCTCAAGTTTGAAATGTCAAGGAAATGTGAATAATTTACAAACCACACAATTCCTACCTCCTCAAAGGGCAGGGAAATTAAAGGTGAATGGGAGAAGTGAAAACTAACCAGGTCTAAGTCCCACTCCACCAACTAAGTCCTACCTGGGCACCACCCTACCCTCAAATTCAGACTACCTCAAAAAATGATAATGGTACCTCAGTAAAGCTGGGGTAGGGGGGATGGTGATCAAAGTGGGGTACTACATAGAGATCTTAGAGCACGCAGGGCCTGGCCCAAAGCAGACCTGAAAAACCCTCCTGAGTCCTATGGGAATCTGTCAATCATAGCCCACAGTGAGTCCCTTCAAATCTTTAAACCTGGCCCCAACCCCTTGGTTTCACCCCCACAACTAGGATAGGTCTGAGACAAGTCTGCAGCCCAGGGCCACCAACAGGACCCAGCTCACATGAATGCTTTGATTTCTGTCCGTGGCATTCACTCAAGGCTAGGGTGACTGACTGGGAGCAGACCTCTCTGGTTTGAAGGAGGAAGAACACCCCACGGCTGCATTGGAGACATGTGACACACCAAGTCAGGATCAAGGCTTCCAGAATCCCAACAACTCCCTGTTCCACCCCAGCAGGGTGGATTCTCCCTTTCACCTAAGCCCAAGTTCTGCCCTTCCCAGTCCACCTTCAGGTACCTGCCTCTGAGGGACCCCAGAGTTTTCAAGCCCAACTTCTAAAGACATGCCCACCTCAATGAGCAGCCTCAAGCAAGGCCAATGAAAGGGGTTCTGGGAAACAGCTTAGTTGCCCAGACTACCCATGAATGCACGGAGAGCAGGTAGGAGTCAGGAAGGTCATAATACATGTAATGATTTCTAACAAGAGTCTGGAGCAGGGGAGGAAACCCTCAGGCATACACCCTGGCACCTGAGCCAGGTCTGGAGAGAGTAAACAAACTAGACACTCAGAACTGCTGGGCACCTGGTCATCAACTGTCCAAAGTTCAAAGATCCTAAAGGAAGTGACCTCTAGCCTATGACCCTCCCACTCCCACCATTTATTTACCCCTAGCCACAATCCTTCTCATTCCCTTAATCCCCTTAACATAACAGCTTACCCCAAAGCCATTGTCTCCCTGGAATTGAGTCCCCATTTAAATATCCTCAATCCCAAATGGACAAGCATACCTCCACCCAAGGCTATATATAACCAGCCAAGTCATGTCCAGCAACCAGGAGGATGTTTCCTGGAAAGCCTCATCACAAAAGGACAGAAGGGAAGCTGAGAGGTGGCAGGCCTTTGACAAAGAGCCAGCAAGGCTTGTCAGGAAGCCAGAGACCTCAGGAGAGTAACTTTCAGAATCCCCAAATAGAAAGTAGCCCCTGAACCAGAAAGGGTGGAGAATGTTAGGCCATGCCTGTTGTTATGGCAACAGGACACCAACCTGCTCAAGAAAGGGCTCCACATTCCCGTAAGCACAAGGAAAGCCAGCCTGATTCAATATCCTCTAGATTCAGTATCCTGCTAAGGTGATCTTGTTCTTATTTGCCTGGATGACCTTACCTTACCTTTCAATACAGTCATAATACATACATATATGCTTGCCACAGTTCCCTCTCCCATAAGGGCATTTACATGATCTCCTTTGCCACAGACATGCCAGGGACACCATGAGAAAACATGCAAAGGAGCCCAAGTCATTGGCAAGGTGAAGAGGGAAGAATCCCAATTCTCATTTTGGGGAACCATCTGAGGACTGGAAGGCCCTAGTCAAGAGAGTCCCTCCAGGAAGCAGCCTTCAGCCCTCTCCACATACACACCAACTATGAGGCCTCCACCAAATACATTCTCGCAGTTGGCCAAGTGATCAGGCAAAATGAGTACCACTTAAAAAACAGACTATCTTCCTCCCCATCTCTGGCTCATTCTGGTAGCACTTTTACCAACTAATCAGCAGGATACATGTGCCTTGCAACCAAGTGACACCCCACCTCCACCCCCACAACAAAGCCCCAATGTGTGGTGTGTCCCTGCAGGCCTTATCTCAGCCAGGAGCATGACCCACTCCTCACTAGGCTTGCTACCAAGTTGCCTGTGCCCCCTATCACGAGGCGGGGGGAGCAGCTGACTCTACCACCTCCCCTTCCATTGGCGAGAAACAACTGGCATGACAGGTTAGCAGGGCGGGGCGTCGGGGCGGTCTCTCCCGGAGGCCTGGGGCAGGCTGTCCGACCTTCCCACACACACCCCACCCCTTGCAGGGAAAGGTGAGGTGAGCAGCCAGTCACAGGGGACCGCCTGCACCATCTAATCCCCCAAGCCTACCATCCTCCCCCCCATCTTCTGTCCCAAGAAGAGGGGGCCGGGAAGCGGGGTCTCCATTGTTTTGCCAGCTGTCTAGCAGCTGCTCCTTTGAGAAGAGCCCGCTGTCGGCCTGGCAGTGAAAGGGTGAAGGCCGCTGGGAGGGATAAAGGGCTCGGTGGAGGTGCTCCCCTTCCCCGCTGTCTTCCTCAGCGCCTCCCTCGATTGATTGCTCCATCTGGGGGGCCTGGGCCTGTCCCCGAGAAGCCCCCCAGCCCCGAGGCTGCAGCCCCCATCCCGCAGCTCTGGGCCACCTGGACTCCTCCAAAGCCCCAAATCCCCCCAAACGTAAGGCCACTCTGTCCTGCCTCCAGCGCCCCCCAGACTGGCCAAAAGGGGCCGGTGCTTTCCCTCCCCGCCTCTCCGGGTCGGCCCCCACCCCCGGCTGTCGAGCCCCGCAGCGCCGCCAGGGACAGGGGACAGGAGCCGGGAGTCCGGGCCCGCCGCTTCCAGGGGACTGGAGAGGAGGAGGCGGCGGGGCCCGCCGCACGGCCAGTCGGTCGGCCAGAGCCCGCCCCACCTCCCCACTGGGCCCAGCTCGCCACCGAGCCGCCGCCCCCCGCAGCTCCACACTCACCGGCCGCCGGAGCCCGCCCGGCAGGCAGCAGGAGCGGAGACCAGGCATCCACGGCCCCGGCCCGGTCGGGGCTGGAGCGCAGCGCGGCGCAGCGCAGCGCCGCCCCCCGCGACCGCGCGAGCAGAACCGAAAGGGAGCTCCCTGCTGGCGACTCCGAGGATAAACACCCGGCCTGCCCGTCAGCGCTCAGGCGCGCCGCCAGATGCTGGCCATGCGGGCACCCGGGGCTGCCCAGGGAGACTATCCGCAGTGGGCTCTGAGGTCCTTGTCGCCGTATCCGAGAGACTCTGCCTGTAGATCCTGTCACTACTGGCCAAGGGAAGCTGCTGGACAAGTCCGAAATATGGAGTGGCCTTGCCCAGAGCAAACACCAGGGTCCTACAGAAAGTATAGAAGTTCTGTCCAAGGCAGCTCTGGACTTCCCTGTGTTCAGGCTAGTGCTTTCCAGAAGCAACGAGTCTTTCTGGCCACTTCTTCCCAGAGTGGCTCTGCAGAGGCATACACAGGTACCCGCTGGGTGGTCCCAAATGACTCAGTCTAGATCAGGTACTGTCTTCCAATTCCAAGGTGGCACTGCAGGAATTCACAGGGCAAGGTGGGAACAGGATCGCAATGGCTTGGTCTGAAATACCCCTGTGGCTTTAACAAGGTCCTGGATTCCATCCAAGCACGGAGGAGAAAAGAAAAAAAAGTCAAAATCTTCAACACCTACAATTCCAAATGCTGGTGAGGTTGCAGAGCAGCAGGATTTCTCATTCATTGCTAGTGGGCAAGCAAAATAGTACAGTTACTTTGAAATAGAGTTCCTCACAAAACCTAAGATCTTAATACTATACAATCCAGCAATATCACTCCTTGGTACTTACCCAAATTAATTGAAAAATTTATGTCCACACAAAAACCTGTGCATGATGTTTATAACAACTTTATTCATGATTGCCAAAACTTGGAAGCAACAAAGCTTTCTTTCTTTTTTAATATTTTTATGTGGACATAATACTTTTATTTTATTTTTATGTAGTGCTGAAGATTGAATCCAATACCTCACACATGCTAGGCGAGCACTCTTCCTCTGAGCCACAACCCCAGCCCAACAAAGTTGATCTTCATTAGGTGAATAGATAAATAAACTCTGGTATATCCAGATAACAGAATATTACTCAGCACTAAAAAGAAATGAGCTACCAAGCCATGAAAAGACACAGAAGAAACTTTAAAATTACTGGGTAAAAGAAACCTGTTTGAAAAGACTATAAACTACGTGATTTCAATTATATGGCCTTCTGGAAAAGACAAAATTGATGATATTACTATGGAAATAGTAAAAAGATCAATGATACCAGGGTTTAGAGTTGAGGAAGGGATGATTACAGGCAGAGCACAGATTTTTTTTGGATAGTGAAACTGTTCTGTATGATACTACAACAGTGAATACATGTCATTATATATTTGCCAAAACCCATAATGTACACTAAGAGTGAACCCTCATATATACTCTGGACTTTGGGTGATTATGATGTATCAGTGTAGACATTGAATGTAATAAATGTTCCATGAGTTGCTGGTATAGGATGATAACAGTGGGAGAGGTTGGGGGCAAGGAGTGCAGAGGAACCCTGTGCTTGCCACTCAATTTTGCTGTGAACCTAATATTGCTTTTAAAATAAAGTTTAGGGCTGGGGTTGTGGCTCAGTAGTAGAGTGCTGGCCTTGCACATGGGAGACCCTGGGTTCTATCCTCAGCACCATATTAAAAAATAAATAAGGGAAATAAAGGTATTGTGTCCAACTACAACTAAAAAAATAAATAAATAAAGTTTATTAATTTTTTAAATTAAATTAATTAGTACAGGGGCTGGGGTTGTGGCTCAGTGGCAGAGGGCTCGCCTCGCATGTGTGAGACCCTGGGTTTAATCCTCAGCACCACATAAAAATAAATAAATAAAATAAAAGTATAAAAATTTTATACATTCTTACATTCATTAAAAAAATTAGTTAATACATAAACGAACAGTATCTGGCAGATAGCAGTCTATGGCTATTGGCTTTATTATCTTTGCCAACTCACAGCTGTAAAAATGAAGCACAGAGAAGTTTGTGACTTTCACACAGCCTGTGAGTAGCAGAGTTGGGATTCAAACCTAGGTCCCCTCAAGCCTCCAAAGCCCATGTTCTTTTCCTTATACCATGGCAGTGAAGTGAACAGGCATGAGAACAACTCTTTTATTTGTATGTGTCAACACATAGGACTCTTGGGGGTAGCACACAGTGTCCCTAAGGGCTCCTATTGCTGGAATTGAGAACCAGACAAGACTGAAACACCAGGGCAATACCCATACTGACACAGTGGTTCTGGTTCTTGGTCACTTGGTTTTAGTCTTTTATTTCTGGAAGGTCAGAATAATACCAGTCCTGGATCTAAATTAAAGTAAAAGTGGTACAGTGTCCACCATTCTGAAGGTCCTGGGTTCAATCCTGAGGAGAAAGAAAGAAAGGAAGGAAGGAAGGAAGGAAGGAAGGAAGGAAGGAAGGAAGGAAGGAAGGAAGGAAGGAAGGAGAGAGAGAGAAAGAGAGAAAGAGAGAGAGAGAGAGAGAGAGAGAGAGAGAGAGAGAGAGAACCTCTCTCCCCCTCACAGAAAAAATCCAGAGTAGTGTCCACATGAAATAGTCCAGATGGCCATGGAAAGGCCAGTTCTTCCAGAAGATTCCTAAAGGTGTAAGGCAATCTGACTTTGAGAAGCCTCCCCAGAAACATCACTAAGCACTGTGGCACAGATCTGTAGTCCCAGCTAGGTGGGAGGCTGAGGCAAGAGGATCACAAATTCAAGGTCAAACCGGGCAATTTAGGGAGACCTTGTCTCAAAATTAGAAAATGAAAAGGACCAGTGATGCAGTGCAGTGGTAAAGTGATATCTAGCCTGGGCTAGGCCCTAGGTTCAATTTCTAAGCACCACAAAAAATTACATCAACTGACCCTTGAGTATGGGTCAAACACTATGCTAACCTCTTTAACACACTGTCTCATTTAATCTCTGCAATTACCCTATTAGGGAGCTGCTATTATTATCCCCATTTCACAGATTAGAAATCAGGTTTAGGAAAGCCAAGTAATTTGCCCAAGGCAGTGTGGCTAATAAATAGCAGAGCTCCAATCCTTGCTCAGAATCATTTGCTAGGCTGCATCTTGGTAGTGATGAATGGAGAGTGCCTGGGATTTGGGACCACACAGAGAGGATGCTTGGCCCTAGCAGCTGCCAGCAAGCTCCTTAGCCTCTCTAAACCTCAATTTCCTCATCTATAAAATGGGAATAATAATAGTGCTTACCTAAGAAGGTTGAGAGAGGATTAAATAAGCAAATTCACTTAAAGCAATTGTCCTAGAACTTGAAACATGGTAAGTGGTTAACAAATAAATGTTGGCTATTACTAATCTCTCTTGACTCTCCATTTCTTCATTTGTGAAATGGGGGCTGATACTATGTATGGAAAAGAGTTACTATTAGGCTAATAAAGAACAGCAAATATAAATCACACAAAATGATACCTCTTGCATGGTAAATTACCATACCATAACCCTCAAAAAAAAAAATGGAGGCAAGGGCTATAGTCTCAGCTACTTGGGAGGCTGAGGCAGAAGGATCACTTGAGTCTAGGAGTTCCAGAACAACAACAATAATAAAAGATTGTAAAAAAAAATAATAAGGCTGGGCTGGAAGTATGCACAAGGTCCTGGGTTTTATCCCCAGCATCAAAAAAAAAAAAAAAAAAAAGAAGTAAGACTGTTTTTTTAAAGGTACACAGAATTATAAAACTCCCTCATATCTGATGTTCTTCAGATGACAAAAGCATATCTTTGAATATTGTTCCTCAAAATGCATGTATTAATTTATCATCTTTTACTCCTTTTCATAGAAGCATGGAGTGTGGGTGAAGAATGCTTTCTAGAAAACTGAAAGCTAAATTCTTAGAGTATTAAGAGAAGATTAATTCAAAAGTAAGTTGCAAATCCCTGAAATGACATTTAAATTTTTTTTATTTGGGGAAGTTAAAACACATATAAAAATAAACAACAAAACATAATAAGTCCTTGAGTATGCATTACACCAGTTCAATAGTTATCAGCTCATGAAATCTTCTCTCAGCTAACTCTCCACTTCTCTCTCCCAGTATAACTGTGGAGTAAATCCCAGAGATCATGCTCTTTCATCTGAAAATATTTCACTGTGTATCTCTAAAACATAAAAACTATTTTCATATAAAACCACAATACCACTGTCACTCCTCAAAAAATTAACAATAATTTATTAATTATGTAAAAATACTTAAATGTTCAAATTCTTTTTTTTTTTTTTTTTTTTGGTGCTGGGGATTGAACCCAGGGACTTGTGCATGTGAGGCAAGCACTTTGCCAACTGAGCTATATCCCCAGCCCTCAAATTCTTTTTGTGGGGTGGTACAGGGTATTGAACTCAGGGGCACTCAGCCACTGAGCCACATACCCAGCCCTATTTTGTATTTTGTTTAGACAGGGTCTCACTGAGTTGCTTAGCACCTTGCTGTTGCTGAGGCTAGCTTTGAACTTGAGATCTTCCTATCTCAGCCTCCTGAGCCGCTGGGATTACAGGCATGTGCCACCACACCCGGCTTCAAAGTTCAGATTCTAATAATTTGAACATAAACATGTTTCTGAAATAATTTGTTTGAATCAAGATCCACATGTTGGGGGCTGAGGTTGTAGCTCAGTGGCAGAGTGTTTCCCTAGCACATGTGAAGCACTGAATTCAAACCTCAGTACCACATAAAAATAAATAAATAAAATAAAGGTATTGTGTCCATCTACAGCTAAATGATTTTTTTTAAAAAGATGCACACATTAGAATTAATTCATATGACTTTTAAATATATTCTAATCTATAGGTTTCCCTTCTAGTCTTTCTTTTTCCTCCTGCAATTTATTTGTGGAAAAAAAAATAATCAATTTATGCTATATATTTTTCCACAGTCTGAATATTGCTGATTGCCTCCCCATATAATGGTCAAGTACATTGTTATTTATTTATTTATTTATTTTTTAAAGAGAGAGGGAGGGAGATAGAGAGAGAGAGAGA